TTTCGAAACCATTTGAAGTGAAGGCGACCGTCGACGGTATGAGTCTTCGTTTCCCATTTCGAGTCTGTCGAGGGTTAGAACCCCCAAAAGCATTGGCATGCACTCAAAAAAGAAGTATGTGGAGTCCTCCCGACGGGTTTCTCCAAAGAAGAAATATTTAGGAGATTTCCTGACGAAAGACGTGGCAACGCGGGAACTTGAACCCGCCAAATCGGCCTATGCCGTAGTGGAATTCAACATGATGCCAGCTACTGTGTACGTCGCTTCGTTCCACGTCCGTTTGATCACTGGTCTTCTTCGCCAGAAATGCATTCCAGCAGATGGCCTTGTAAATTCTGTTTTTCTTTAAGGTAGAGGTAAGACTAAAACGGACTTAAGTTACATATTAGTGATATTAGACTTGAGGTAAGTTTGTTTTTTGTCAAATTATTCCCAATACAGTGAGGTATTTCTGTTTTCTGGTCACTTCAATTTAAAGAAAACATTTAGCTTCAGTTATTATTCTGTTTCTCTTGGGTAGTCAGTTTATTTATGGGCTTTTGTTATCTAATGGAAAAATCTAATTTTTATCATTATTATTTTGTACTAACTGGTTTTGTTTCTCTTGGGTAGTCAGTTCATTTATGGGCTGTTGTTATCTGATAACAGGACCTAATTTTCATCATTTTCATTTTGTACTAACTGGTTCTGTTTCTCTTGGGTAGTCAGTTCATTTGTGGACTGTTGTTATCTGATGACAGGACCTAATTTTCATCATTTTCATTTTGTACTAACTGGTTCTGTTTCTCTTGGGTAGTCAGTTCATTTGTGGACTGTTGTTATCTGATGACAGGACCTAATTTTTATCATTTTTATTTTGTACTAACTGGTTCTGTTTCTCTTGGGTAGTCAGTTCATTTGTGGACTGTTGTTATCTGATGACAGGACCTAATTTTTATCATTTTTATTTTGTACTAACTGGTTCTGTTTCTCTTGGGTAGTCAGTTCATTTGTGGACTGTTGTTATCTGATGACAGGACCTAATTTTCATCATTTTCATTTTGTACTAACTGGTTCTGTTTCTCTTGAGTAGTCAGTTTATTTGTGGACTGTTGTAATCTGATGACAGGACCTAATTTTTATCATTTTTATTTTGTACTAACTGGTTTTGTTTCTCTTGGGTAGTCAGTTCATTTATGGGCTGTTGTTATCTGATAACAGGACCTAATTTTCATCATTTTCATTTTGTACTAACTGGTTCTGTTTCTCTTGGGTAGTCAGTTTATTTGTGGACTGTTGTTATCTGATGACAGGACCTAATTTTTATCATTTTTATTTTGTACTAACTGGTTCTGTTTCTCTTGGGTAGTCAGTTCATTTGTGGACTGTTGTTATCTGATGACAGGACCTAATTTTTATCATTTTTATTTTGTACTAACTGGTTCTGTTTCTCTTGGGTAGTCAGTTCATTTGTGGACTGTTGTTATCTGATGACAGGACCTAATTTTCATCATTTTCATTTTGTACTAACTGGTTCTGTTTCTCTTGGGTAGTCAGTTCATTTGTGGGCTGTTGTTATCTGATGACCGGACCTAATTTTCATCATTTTCATCTTGGACTAACTGGTTCTGTTTCTCTTGGGTGGTCAGTTCATTTATGGGCTATTGTTACCTGATGACGGATTATTATTATTATTGTTATTGCTATTATTATCAACATCATTATTGAGTGATTTGAAATTATTTTTGTTTGATACAGGGCTATAATTTGCAGCAGGCGATGGAGTGTACACTGATTTGCTTTAGTTTTCTTTCAGAAATTCACATAGAATTTACTTTAGTTACAATTATTGCTTGGGTACTGAGATAAACTTTCAGCGACACAGTGTGACAAAATTGTTTTAACCAAAATCATGATAACACAATCAAAACGTTTTTATTATGAGTATTATTCGTTAATTTCAAACGATGCTAATATATGTATGTAAAAATGATATTATCTTGCCGCTTGTTACAGAGCTATCCGTACTGTAAAACGTCAAATGAAAAGTTATAACACTCACATGTCTATTAGTTCTTACAAATGATTTTGTCAATGAAAATCGACGACAAAAATTTCCGTTCTCTGGCTTAATTAAGAAGCTTGGGTTGCAAAAAAATGTGTTTGTAAAACACAACCGAGTCAATTATCGTACGTTAAATAAATCAAAGCATTACTTTAGCAAAATAGAATCTTAGGGTTAACTTCCCGTGGCTAGTGCCGGAAAAAAGATTGGGCCACCAGATTACTTCAAACCCTCCGGTTGCCTTCCCTTCGCCGTGCCCTATGAGCTTTACGTTAGATCTCACGGTTTATTATTTCAGAATCAAGTCTCTATTAAAATGAAGCTGTTGTAAGTCGGTTGTAGTTACTGATATCCAAGAATTCCAAATGTTCCTGTTTCGGGAATCGTAGTTTCTCTGGGATTAAATCATTCTCGTTGAGTAAACATTAATTTATCACAGGTAAGTAAATGTACTTAATTTATAACATCGAACCTCGTTGCTGACGCCGTTTTGTGTAATGTTCCTGCCGACCACACAGTAATAGATAGAAGATAGTATACTGTTCGATCGACATAATTGCAAATAATTTCATTCCTCCCGTCAGAATAGATTATAGGCCGTCATTAAAATGTTTCTCGGGTGGTAAACTTTAGCTTCTCGTAATATTTTCTGAGTCGGCAAAGGGTTTATGTTTCATTTCCATTTTCTCTTTAGTAACAGATATAAACCCCGCTCTCGTCAAGGTTTGGTTCTTGATCTTCGATTATCCCACTCGAGTAATAGTTATTTTTCTTGCTATCGCCTTTCATAATTATGGTTGTGCGATCAATAAGGAGCGGGTTTTTTTTACAGTAGAGCCATGCCCTGAATACTATTTCGCGCGAAGTAACAGTTGACGTGTGTCTCCACGCGAGTAAAGCCAACAAATGCGCGTCCGTATCTGGAAAACCTTTTTATTATGTCAAGAAATGTCTTATTTACACGTCTCGTGATTCCCACGCCGGGTGTTTTTGGATGTCGGCAAGTGTGAAAAAAGTAATTACCGAGGATTCCAAAGTAACACCTCAGTCGTATGAAGGCGCGAATTGTGATCTCCCGTTTCAGTTAATCATAAGCCATGGGTAGATTCAATCTACCCTTAGCCTAATTTGCATATTTTTTTTTGGTGAGCAAAGCCCGTCATGTCTTCCGCCTGGATAGGATACTAGCAAATTTCAGGGATACTCTATTTATACAAATGGGTGAAGAGAGACAAAATGGGACAAACGTCTCTCGTCTAAAAAAAAAAGCGACCCCAAGGCTGAACCTTAGTCTATAGATACAAAGATGGAAGTGAGTAGTATAGGGCGCACAGGTTAGTCCCCTTTTTTGGGCAGGAATAAATTAACGCCAATGACGTCATAACCTTTTGTCTTTATTATTCCCTCCTCTACAATTTTATTATTTTCCCTCCTCTTCCTCCCCCTCCTACATCGACCCCACATCGACCCCACATCGACCCTACATCGACCCCACATCGACCCCACATCGACCACACATCAACCCCACATCCACCCCACATCGACCCTACATCGACCCCACATCGACCCTATCAAAACAATCAAAATGAGAACGAAAAGGAAAAACAATCAAAATGAGGAGGTGGAGGAGGGAAAACAATAGAAGTGAGGAGGAGGAGGAGGAGGAGGGGGAGGAAGAGGAGGGAAAATGATAAAATTGTAGAGGAGGGAATAATAACATTAAGGAGGGAAAATAATGAAATTGAGGGAAAATATTAAAATTATGGTGGAGGGGAATAAAAAACATTGAGGAACGAAAATAATAAAAAATTGTGGAGGAGGGTATAAAAACATTGAGGAGGAAAAATAATAAAATTGTAGAGAAGGGAAAAAGAAACAATTGAGGGGGGAAATAAAATTGAAAAGGAAGGGGTAGGTAAAACATTGTGCGCAGTGTAAAAAAGAGCTAGTTTGTCTTTGCCCTCATTAATATGCACGATTTGCCCGCCAAAAGTCAGTGAACCGGAACTAGGACAATAACAGCAGCAGGAAATAGGACTTGCATAATTACATTACGCCTCCGTGATTGTAAGTCACAGACAAGTTTGACTTTACTCCTCAGACAGTATGAATTAACCAATTATTTTCAAACTAACCAATCGAAAACGAAGACGTTTATCGACCTTAAAGTAACTAGAAATCCTAAACCAACTAAAAATAGCACATGACCTTATCTTAATGGCATCCCTGCGCATTTTATTCATGAGATAAAGACAAAAGGTTATGACGTCATTGGCGTTAATTTTATTCCTACCCAAGTTAATGAAATTCCTGCCCAAAAAAGGGAACTAACCGGTGCGCCCTATACTACTGAAGTGTATACATGTAGATAATTGGCCAACCCGCCTCCAATAAAAGTTTAAACAAAAACTTAAAATTACTGACAAAATGTAAAAATGGCTCTGAAGCCACTGAACAGATATGCAGTGGCTATCATAAAGGTAATCTTAATTCCTAAATGATAACGTTTAATTTGAACGACGATGAATGTTGTTAAATGGTGTAAGTACAAACTGGATCCAAAATGTAAGGCAGCTTCACTCAGCTCTATTGGGAGTAACATAATTGATTCCTTTGAAATGTTGTTAAGTTGGATAGCATTGCACAGTATACAACTATCCCCCGAAGAGGAGGTGAATAGTGTTGGGTGGATATACCGAGACGCGAAGCGTCGAGGTATATATCTAGCGCTGTTCACGGTTACAACTTGGTGTTACAGTGCACGAATTTATGCTAATTAGTATATACCAATGTCTATGTCACATAATGAAAGTGTCATGGAGACATGGTTTCATAGGTTTCGTGGTGTCAATGGTTTCATAGTTTTATCTGTTTTGTGATGTCAATGGTTTCATAGTTTCATAGGCTTCGTGGTGACAATGGTTTCATGGTTTCATAGGATTCCTGGTGTCAAAGGTTTCATGGTTTCAGAGGTTTCGTGGTGTCAATGGTTTCATAGTTTCATGTGTTTTGTGGTTTCATAGGTTTCGTGGTGTCTATGGTTTCATGGTTTCATGGTTTCATAGGTTTCGTGGTGTCTATGGTTTCATGGTTTCATAGGTTCCGTGGTGTAAATGGTTTCATAGTTTCAGAGGTTTCGTGGTGTCAAGGGTTTCATGGTTTTATAGGTTTCGTGGTGTCAATGGTTTCATGGGTTTCATGGTGTCAAGGGTTTCATGGTTTTATAGGTTTCCCGGTGTCAATGGTTTCATAGGTTTCGTGGTGTCAATAGTTTCATGGTTTCATAGGTTTCTTGGTGTGAATGGTTTCATGGTTTCATAGGTTTCGTGGTGTCAATAGTTCTATGGTTTCATTGGTTTCTTGGTGTCTATGGTTTCATGGTTTCATAGGTTTCGTGGTCTCAAGGGTTTCATGGTTTCATAGGTTTCGTGGTGTCAATGGTTTCATGGTTTCATAGGTTTCGTGGTGTCAATGGTTTCATGGTTTCATAGGTTTCGTGGTGTCAAGGGTTTCATGGTTTCGTGGTGTCAGTGGTTTCATGGTTTCATAGGTTTCGTGGTGTCAATAGTTTCATGGTTTCATAGGTCTCGTGGTGTCAATGGTTTTATGGTTTCATAGGTTTCGTGGTGTCAATGGTTTCATGGTTTCATAGGTTTCGTGATGTCAATAGTTTCATGGTTTCATAGGTTTCGTGGTGTCAATAGTTTCATGGTGTCATAGGTTTCGTGGTGTCAAGGGTTTCAATGAAACCATTGACACCACGAAACCTATGAAACCATGAAACCATTGCCACCACGAATCCTATGTAACCACGAAACACACGAAACTACTAAACCATTGACACCACGAAACCTATAAAACCATGAAACCACTGACACCACGAAACCTATGAAACCATGAAACCCTTGACACCACGAAACCTATGAAACCATGAAAGCATTGACACCGCGAAACCTATGAAACCATGAAACCATAGACACCACGAAACCTATGAAACCATGAAACCATTGACACCACGAAACCTATGAAACCATGAAACCACTGACACCACGAAACCATGAAACCCTTGACACCGCGAAACCTATGAAACCATGAAACAATTGTCACCACGAGACTTATGAAACCATGAAACCATTGACACCACGAAGCCTATGAAACCATGAAACCTATGAACCTATATGAAACCAGAAACCATTGACTGCACCTATAAGCCATGACTCCGTGACACTTTCATTATATGACATAGACATTGGCATATACTAATTAGCATAATTTCGTGCATCGTAACACCAAGCAATAACCCTGTTCACCGACCCTGAGGGGGAGTTGTTTTAGTATTTACCGAATTAGTTGCATTGGCTAAAATGAAAATAAACTTTTGTAAATTAAAAACGTCACTTAGTAGGAACTTTGTTTACAATTTACAAACATTTCTGCGATTTTTTTAAAGTGCATTTTACGATTTTGTTGCAAATTCAGCATGAAAATAATTTTCTATCTACCAGTAAAAATCACGGACAAGCCAAAGTTCGTCGCTTTCTTGGTATTTGTTTGCATGAATGCTTTATTTATCGCTCAAATTTCGTCTTTCCGAAATGTCTCGAAACGAGACACCATCTTGGCTCCGGGCGCAAAACTGTGATTAGCCAACTGAAGGATATTCCGAGTTACCGGAGCCAATCAAAACGCGCGAAAATTGCTATCCACTGATTTGGTGAATACTAATGTTAGATGGTGTTAAACATTGCTGAAAAATGTTGGACGGTTTTGGTTCGGGTTTCCGTGACGATTTTGGATGTTATTGAATGGTGTTGAATGCTGCTGGATATTGTTTGATGGCGTTGGATGGTGGTCAACAGTGTTGAAGGTATTGGATGTTTGTGGACTTTGCTAGGCGAGTTTGGAAACAACTAGAAGCAGCTCTCGCCTGTAAAATATTTGTTACTATGATCTCCCCTATTCTAACATACATTGTAACAGTGAAATTTGGGGTGTGTATGCCAAACCAGACTTAAGGATCTAGGACGGCTCACAAATCGAGAAGGAACACCTTCAATTTTGTAAACGATACTTGGAAGTAAACAACAAAGCTTCTAATATAGCTTGTAGAGCAGAGCTTGGTCGTTTTCTTTTAAATGTCACTATTATTCACAAAATTCTCAAATACATTTTGTATATACAGTCTAAAGATGAGGAATCTCTCGTCAAACAAGCTTTTTTAATGTCATTCGACTTTCAGCATTCTCAAAAACTTGAATTTTATAGATCTTTTAAAACCGTTCATACGTTCTCTAGTTACTTAGACTCAACAAGAGGAACAGCTGGGAGAAGGGCTTTAGTAAAACTACGAATAAGCAATCACAAACTAATGATAGAGATAGGCAGATATAATCAAACTACGAAGGATAATAGGCATTGCCCATTTTGTGGATGCAAGGTAATAGAAGACGAAGTTCACTTTCTTTTTCAATGTCCTACATACTCTATGATTAGGAATAAATTTAATTACTATAAAGTCAAGACTCTGATTCCAAATATTACCCAGTTACCTAAAAACGGTTTGATCAATGAACTGATGAACTCTTCTAATTACAGCTAATTACTTTATCAATATACAATTCATAAAATATATTTCAGCTTGTTTTGATGTTCGTGACAAATTATTATCAAAGTAACATAATTGCCTTGTGTTGTAATTTTGATTCCTAAACATAGCTTTTGCAATACTGTATGTGCTTGTATGGTCATGCAAATAAAGCTAGTTGTTGGTTGTTGTTGTCGCACAGTTTTGCGTGGTTGGACGGTAGTGGACGCTGTTGGATGGTTTAGAACGTTTTTTGATGGCGTTTGACTTTGGTGGATGGTTTTGAAACGGTTTTTGATCGGCGGTGCATGGTATAGGTTAATCGAGGTGGCGGTGCTCCATTTGCAATAGAATCATATGGAAGACGCAGGTAATTTTTTCGTATTTTTATGTCCATTCTGGGAAGCTCGAGATTTGAAGGTAGGCCGAGTTTAAGTTTGTCAAAACTAAGATCTAAATAAGTCAACCTTTCAGTCTCAATCGCAACCTAGTGTTCAGGTATATCGCACGACTTGCTGTATCGCAAATTTTTTTCCTTTTTTACATTTCTTTGTAAAATGTTCATTGTTTTCTGTTGGTATTTTTTCTAAGTGTCCACTGCTACCGCGCGTGCGTGAAATTAAATTCTGGCCATGTCCAATGTTTCATTTTAATTATTTATTTCCAGTTGACATTGAGATATGAATTTGGCCGAGGAGTAAAACATGGGTGTCTTTATTAAAAACAATTCATGTTCAGTTAATCTTCAAGTTGCTTGCTAGTATCTCTTGGTATAAAGTATTAGCAACTAAAATGGAATAATAGGAATATGATGATAATTCTTTTTGGTATCAATCGATGCTAATTGCAGGTTTCGATTCCTCCCAAGAAAGGTTCATTTGGTATAAAGAATTAGCGAACTAAAATGATAAGAATAGTGGAGGTAGGGTGGCCGAGCAGTATAGAGAGCTGGAATTGCAGTCCCGAGTTCAAGTCCCGCCCTGGCTGTTAGCTGGATTTGTTCTCGGTAGTCCCGAGTTTAAATCCTCGGCCACGCTTGTAAATAACCAACTGGTTTGCCTCCGGCCAGTTGGCCTTTTTTAACCCTGTTAAGTTTCATTTGAAATATTTGTTTCAGACATTTGCTTGGCCCCACTGGCACAAGTGCTACAAATACTGCCGAGGGTAAAACAAGGGATTATCATAATTATACTTATCATCATCATCATCATCATCATTATTATTATTATTATTATTATTATTATTATTATTATTATCATCATCATCATCATCATCATTATTATTATTATAGATTGCTTGGTTTCAATCGATGCTAACTGCGGGTTTCGATTCTTCCAAAGAAAGATTCATTCAGAGGACAGAACGAAGACAGAAAAAATTACTCTGCTTCAAAGAGTCATCATAGCTAGGATTTCAATATGGAATCAACTCACCAAAAACCAAAGAATCACTCCAGCTGCGTACATTGCCAGCAGACAAACAGTAAAGAACGACCATTTGTCAAGAAATGAGCCAGTTATGACCTCTTCATAATAACCCTGACTGGACTTATGATTTCTTCGCCTTATGACCACAACGCCAGGTACCTCTAATATAGCGACAAACTTGCTAAATTCGCTGCCTCTCGGAGTTGTCACAGAAACAGGAAAAGTAAGGCTTGATTCTCCTTCGTCGCTTTTGGAAAAATTTAGCACTGTTTCGCCATACTCTTTACAGAAGCCGCATGATTTCTTTATATTTCCAGCGATAAGTTCGGTCAGCCCACGAGATCCACCATTGTCCAGAGGTGAAGGGCGTGCGGTCACTGAAAAGTATTGAGGACAAACGCAAGTTCCTATAGCGAAAAAAAAAAGGACAAACAAACAACGGCCAAAAACTGGCGTACATTAGTTTGAATACGCCTTGAGTTTCATGAACGTAACTATTAACTGTCCAATTAATAATACTTATATCAATACTTTTATTAATACTGGTATTTATACTATAATTTATTCAATTTTTCATAACCAGTTGGCGTTTTGCTCCCTTCAATATAATAGTGTCAGTTCTGGCAATTCTCTGATTTCATTGTCACGCCATCAAAACTAAAAGTGCAGACTATTCAATACAGAAAGTCTAGAATCTGGGAAATGAAAGAAGATAAATATGCAAAGAGCCTTGCCAAGAATCATTTCTGTGCAATATTTAGTTTGCGAAATATTCGGAAAAACCTTTTTACCCAAATTTTTAAAGCTTTGTATGGAGACGTCATGTTTGTGTCCCTTTCAGGGGTACAAATATGGCTACCATTAACTAACAGAAACATCTGATTTTGAGTTTTCCTACTAATGCGTGAATTCTTCGCTTGAGGAACTCATGAAGATAAAAGTAATGTTTATTCTCAGACAGGGAGGTTGCGTTAGCTCAGTTGTTTTGGTAGTTCTAGAGGAAATGGCGGGAAATTTCACCCTTTTCAAGAAGAAGAAATAGCCAAATTTTGGCCTGTAAAATAGAAAAAAAAACAGCAAAATATATCTCAACGGAAATTAACTATATTTGAAGAATATCCGTTAGACTAAAGATCCCTTTACATGTCTAGCTGATTGTTTTTGAAAACCAGGATAAAGAAATTTGCCATCATTTGAGTAAAAAGGCCTCAAAAAGTGGGTTTCTTAGGCCGATAATCTCCAAAATCACACTAACGAAGGAAAAGGAAAGGAGAAAACGAAACAGCGAGGAGGTAGAAAGTCGTAGAGGAGAAAAAAGCAATGGTTGCTCAATAACTGTTGGACACAAAAGGTACATTTGGCGATAACGTTTAAAAAATCCAGCTAGATGTTTATCCCGAGGAGTCGAGGAGCAAACAAACGGGAACCTGTTTTAAAAGAGGAATTATTTTGAATGAACGATAAAACAACTGCTGGACTCGACTTCTACTGGATGGGAATATGGACATATGCAGAAAAAAAGGAAAAACAACCTACCAGCAATAACAGGAAAACTGAAATCTCCCACTTCTTTGTAACTGTAGGCTGCCATGCGAATCTGATATCTTGTGAATATGGAAAGGTTGGAAATTACTAAAGAAGTCTGAGAGGCATTTTGTATCTTTATTATTTTCTCGAATGGGGCCAAAGGCGGTTCACGCGAACTTCCAGTTTCTGCAATATGAAGTTTATATCCGCTGATGGTCCTATTGTTATTAAGAATTTCCCACGTCACTTTAACAGCAGTTGGACTGTAGTACATTTCTACGAGTGGTTGTGGAATGCTGATGCGAACTAAGAAAAGGAAAGTAAGTATTTTATTAATGAAAGTGAGTAGAAATAAATCATAAATTTATGATGGCCTGAGTATCAGGCGTTAAAATCGCCTCTCCACTAACCCCTTAGTATTTTCCAATATTCAGGCTAAAGTGATAAGTACTATTTGGTAACTCCTCTTCCTCGCTCTCCTAAATCCAAAAACGACTGTCTCCAGTGAACTCTCCTAGATCCTCAAAATAAACTCAGGCTTACCCATCATAATTGCAAATGTAAATCACAAGCTAACGGCTTACCCCTCTCCTCCCTTATGACCGTTCGGTTCGATTCACGATTCTTTGCTTCCAAGTTTCGATTTTGGTTCGATTTTTGCACACCTTTTCCAGGGTGCCCTTAGTGAGTTATTATATTGTAAAATCGGAATCCAGAACGCTTGTGCGTTTATGATTGACGAGCAAAGACAATAGCATTTCGTGCGCCATTTTGTGTTGCCTGGTAAAAATGCTGTCCTTCAACCACCCCTTGAGAATTGCCAAATAAGGCAAACTATGTGCGACACGCTCTTTCTTAGGTTCTCAAATATGGCGACGAACCAAGCGACTCTGAATCCTCCTGTCCCTACTACTATTCTCAAATTGAGCGTTTAGGGTTGCATGTTGTTTACATTACGTGTTATGTTATAAGAATTAAGAAACATTTACATAATCGAATCGAAATAATTGAAATCGAAAGGCAATAATCAAAATCGAATCGAACCGCAAGGAATATGAATCGTTACACCCCTACATTCTTGGCGGACTGGGGGACCTGATGAACAGTCCGGGCCACAACCAGATCTGGACATATGATGACGTCACCCACATTTGCAAAATGGCGCCCACGCCGAGAAACACGAGGGAAGGTCACTTCCTGGCTCTTTGATGCGCCTAGAAGTGTCCTTTCCCCATACTACTTTGAGAGCTGTGACTTTAGACAATGAGAAATCAGGGGTGTGAAGAAAAAATGCCGTCCGATGAATGTTTGTGCGTTCTTGGGAGGTAAAACGACCGAACACGAGAGTTTTTCAGCTTAAACAAATGCCCCACCAGGAGCAAAACATCGAAAAAAAGAAGGTGAGTGTCATTTTTTGAACCTTTGCAAAAAATATTTTTGAAATCTACATAAAATTTGCTTGTTGATATTGGTCTGTTTGGTGTAGTGCAAAGCAGTTCCACATAGTGCTGTAATGTTAAAGATTATCTACAAAAGTCAGTTTGCAGTCGGATGGAAAAGCACCTTGGTTTTTTGGAAAGAAGATGCCTTTTGTGTGGGAAAACTTTCTCTAAGGTCAAAACTGTCCAGAACTGCGACAAAACGTTTAGAAGGGAACTTTTGAACTTCTTTGGCGTAGATATTGGGCTGGACTCCAGAGAAATCCATCCATAGAAAGTGTGTTCGGCTTGTAGGAGAGTCGTTTATCATTTAAATTCGGGTAACTTGGACCCCGAAACCTCCGAAGGGAGAAAGCAAGGAATAAAACTGTTTGTGTGGAACGAACACTCCTCAAACTGCTATTGCCTGCAGAACCTCAAGGGAAGGCCTGCAAAGAAGGAATTGAAATTGGAATTGAAGGAAAGAGTCTGAGTCAGAGGGAGTAAAAAAGATGGTTGCCTAACTTTCAACCAACTCATGGACATGTTGCCAAAGTTAGACAAAGAACTGGCTCTTACCCTTTCCTGTAAACTTACAGAATATTTTAATTTTGCCTTTGTTGATCTTCACAATATTGATCAATTTGTATCAGGTGTTGAGAGAGTAACATTGCTACAATTAACAAACTCTATCTTCAGGTTAGAAGCTGAGAAGGTGAAAAAGGACATTCTTAGCTGCAGTCAAACCTATAAGAGTTTACCTGGTTTTTAAAATTGCGACCAGATAGCTGGATGGAAGGACGAAATGAAGTATTGTCGCATGCAGTAGGTGCCTTATGTCACAGTGCTATAAAAGATGTGCAGAAAACAGTTGCTGTGGATCAGCTGTATTCTCTTGTGCAACCATCTTATGTTATTCCATTTTTGTTTGGTGCCAGCCTTCTGGTATATTCAATCGCACGTAGCAAACTATCAATGAATATATACAGCAAGTTCTTCCCTGCTGGTGCAAGCTCAACTGTAAGATCTTGGTTAAACAGGCTCACCAAGGATGTTCAACAAATGCCCAAGCGAGCCCACATTGTAGGATAGCTTTGAATATAAAAGTCTTGACTGAAATGATGATGGTTGATTAATCACTGTCATGAGACAGTATGCAACAGTGCAAACCAGTTTCCCAATTATATAATTTTCGATTACGGAAATAAAATGTCAATGCTGACAATAAAATAAGAGCATTGGTCATCCCTGGATAACCCTTTCATTTCAATGAAATAAATGTACACAGATTGAGGTACATAAAAAAATGTCTGTATTTTCGATTGCTCATATAATTTTTTAATTTATTATTTAATTGTTACTTTACTTTGTCTTAGGTTATGACATGCACGGTAGAAAATGTGAAGAATGGCTGAAAACATACTTTAAACAAGACACCAAATGATCGATCTTACAAAACTGTTCCATATTTCATAATTACAGTCAAAGTCCATTGATATGGACACTGAAGGGGCCATAGGAAGTGTCTATATAACGGAGGTGTCCATATCAAACAGGTCCTGAAAAAACGTCCATTATCCACTTTAACAGGTCAGTCTGCATTAAGTGGGTGGAATAAAGAGAAAAATTAAGGGTTTTCCCTAGTGACCAAGGAAACATCCCATAATAACAGGGAGTCCACATTAAGCTGGTGTCCGTAAAGAGGAGTTTGACTGTATGATACAGGACAAACATAATCTAATAATAGAATGTATTCCACCTACAGTGACAGGATATTACTATATAATGGCATAGTTTTTACACTAAATCAACAAAACTCAGAAACCCAGGCATTGTTTGGGATACAAGACAGCCTTTATTAATCATAACAAAATACAATACATGGTAAATAACTAACAGGTAATATTTAGTATAAAAATAAAGTACTCCAACAAATAAGAAAGACCAAACTAAAAAAGAATTAAAACAACCTCAATCAAGTAATAAACTGAAGTGATGACACTGTCCATGAATAGAACAAAATAAAATCCTACAGGGAGGGAGGGAGGGAAATGATTGCTAGTGCAATAAAAGTGAATGTTGCTACTGCAATGCCAAGTGAGAATGTGACTGAACTAGAATTGTATTCGTCTGTAACCCATATTACAGTCGTGGTATTCCTATCTACCGTAAAACTACTATATCCTAGGTAGTAGACACATGGTATTATGAAATCTCTCATGCCAAAAAACTACTGTGATGCTGTACTAGCTGTGCATCCCAATGTGACACCTTCCTTTGACATTTAGAACCGCATCAGTCGTCTTAACTGATGCACCCCCTTAATAACAATAATTTAAAGGAACAAATTTTTTTAAAAAATATAGAGATATAAATATACATAATATTTTCTTGTCTTGTGAAAAACCATTCTATTAAATATTTTGGCACAAACAATAGTAAAGTTTGCACATCTATTTCATTTGTCAACGCTGTTTTTCAAAATACAATTGTCAAATTATGTTTACGTCCTCTCAGTGACTATTTAACAGCTATTAGAGCACGGATACGTCCACTTGCATTATTTTCATCCGCAATGGGGTTTTGCAATTTGCAATAAGCAAAGACAGAAGTTCGTTAATGACTGCTTACGACGCTTCGCGAGTGCAATTTCCACAAATTTTATTTTTTCTTTGACCTTCGCATATTTCCAACATGTGTGACGATTCAACATACTGGAAATTTATATAAACAAGAATAATTAGCATTAAGATTATCATTATCAATCCTTCGATCGAAATTAGATTTTAGCGTGTATGGTATTGCGCCCGAAGTAGAATAGAACAGACTTCTCCAGGTCGAAGCTGTGCTCGCAGAAATTACTCCAAACAGGACTTCTTAAAACCTTTCCACTTAAAATGTATCGCGGTATTCAAATTCCCTATTCTTCCAATTCGATCGGAGTCGTCGAGTTGTTTCTGGTCTCTTGAAATATTATCAGAAATCCACGGGTGTTTACAGAAAGCGTTCTCGATCATTAACATCTCGATATTCGTAAGTCGAACGCTATGACCCATAAAATAATCTCCATTAATCGGCTCCGTATTGCTGTTACTTTTCTTCAAGGTACATTCCACCCAAAGCACTCGACAGCTATTTGCTTCGAAGTTTCCCTGTTCGACATTTCTGTCGAGCTTGAACCTTTCGCGGTCAAGTCAATGTTTTGGTTGAGCTCTGAGCCAATCAGATTGTAGGAAATTGCATATCCAGATCTGGTTGTGGCCCGGACCGATGAACGCATGACTAAGCCCTGAACTCCCTGAGACCCTCATATTCAAAACACCGGTGTAAAGAGGGACAAAGTAAAGTAAACTGTCTTTCTATTATATACACCTCCTTCGTCATTCATTTTCCTTCAGTTCGACGAACTTATATTTTATCATTTACGGCTTCGATGACGTCATCACGGCATCGTCGTGGTCGTCTTCATAATCATCGTTCCTCTCATCACCACTCCAAATGCTGCACTCCACTGAAACATTCGTATCATGTCATGCGTAATAAATTAACATAATTATACCACAACTTACCGCTTTTTTCCGCGGTTGTCACATAGAAGCAAGCAGTTCTGTTACCATCTCCAATTCTTGTAAAACCAGCCAGTTGTATACAGTACTTCGTAGACGCTTCAAGGTTCAATAGATCAACACTCAACTGATCAGTTCCTACCGTCACGTTGTTGTATTGCGACAAGGGCTCAATAGCTTTTCCGTAATATACTCTGAAGCCTAGAAGTATTCCAGGGATAAATTCCGCGGCAATAGTGTCCCACTGAACGTAGATAGTGCTGGAGCTTGTACTGTTAGCCGATATGTTTAAGGGAGAGTCAAGAGGAACTACAAAGAATGTTACGAGAAACTTAGGAAATAGTTATTTCTATTAAGACCCATTAAGACAGGACATTACTCTTGTTCTGTATGAAGCCAGACGAGGTTATCTATTGAGATAAAATGTGACACAACAAAGCAAGAGAAATAGGTTCTAATGATTTCTAAAATAATGGGAAAACAATTTTTGATCGTTTCAGATAGTTCTATTACTAACAAGGAAAGTTTATTTCCTACCGTCTTCATCTGTGCTTATGCAAAGAACTTGCGTTTCGTTACCGATTCCCATTCTGTTGAATGCCACACCCCAAACGCAATAGTTAGTAAATTTCTCTAACCCTACGATGTCCAATCTAACTGAGTTCGCCTCTGCAATTTGCTCTCCACTTTCAATGCTACGAGATACGCGATGAATACGTGCATTTCTTTCGTAAAATATTTTATATCCAAGGATAACTCCTCGTCTGTGTTCCGATGGCAATCGATCCCAAGCGACGCCTATGGTGGTGGAGCTTGTAGAAAAGATGGAAAAATTCTGAGGAGGTGCAGTTGGAACTAAGTAAATAAAACATAACGCAGTACAGTAAAACGGGATAAAATGTTTTCATTTACAGACGGAATAACAACTCTGTAAGAAGAACTAGATCTCGATGGATCAGACAAGGTCAGAGGGCGTTAAGTACATAAGTCAGCTGTTTCATTTAAAAGAAAAATCCTTTTATTTAGAGATTAACTTTTTAAAGGTTTCTTTCATTCTAACAATTTGCTAATCATTTGTTTGTTGAGTGGACTGGGCAGTATTCTGTAAACAAAAGGGCCAATTAACTATAGAAAAACGCCAACAAAGAATGAACTGTGGCAAAGTAGGCGGTGTGGTTACGAAAACAACAGTCAAAGATATATAATTATAATTGGGCTCAGAGATTCGCTCTCTTAGCTCATTCTCTGTTGAAAACACTGAGATCCACCAATGAAGTAGCGTTTATAGTGCAAAATACCTAGCGTCCTTAGACACGTTCGGATTGAATAAACTGTGTGCAAGCTTAAGAAATTAACATAAGCAGGGATCAGAAAGCTCTCTGACTTGTTAAAAATATAATCTATATAAGAACGAAACGTTCTGTAGAACTCGACAGCTTTCATAGTCTTTCGCTATATCGATCATTAGTTTTGTATTTGCTTATTACATTTAGGTTTCGGTTGGGGCAAATTGTGAAATGTATATGTAACCGATCGCTGCATACTTTATAGCTTTGAAAAATACGTCCAGTTCACAGTATTCCCTCAGGGAACATCCAACAGGGATTAATGTTCGTCTTACCTGCTTCCTCTGTTGTTATGAAGAGACATTGGCTTGTGTTACTAACTTTTCTTTCAGTAAATGAAGCAATCCCGATGCAATAGTTCGTAAACACATACAAACTGGTCAATTCTGTTGTGTAAAAATCCGCTGATGAACACAGAACGTAATTAACCTCCTGGTCCAAACTGTGTTCTCTGTAACTCACTCTGTAGCCGGTAAAGTTATCGTCCGGTGGCTTACCAGAAAAAATCGAGTCCCAGGTAACATTAATGGATGACGAACTTGTGTTGTAGGCAACAATGTTTGACGGAGGGTCTAAGAAAATAAGCATAAACAAGCCTTATTACATGAAATTCTGGCCATGCTGAAAACTAACCTGCGTCGGGTCTCAAATACAGGTCAATTTTCCACAAGTCAGAGTACAGGTCACCATGTAGCCTGCAGTGCAGGCGTATTTTGGGTGGGCGAAACCTTGTTCATGTTCGTGTTCGTATTGTTGTAGCCGCCATCTTTGATTTTATGACACTGGAAGAGGGGAGAAAAAATACTCTTCTCCTCTCTCTCCCCGCCGATTCCCCGCCCCTCCCCACTCCCTTTGATTTGCCCCATTTCCTCCTCTCTTCGGGAAGTTTCAACATGGCGCTTTCGAGAGCAAAAACATTTGCGCGCCCGAAGAAAACGCCTGCACTGCAGGCTAGTCACCATGATACAAATAAATGCATAGCATTAAAAGTGTCTGCTAGCCCAAATCCCCAGTTACCAAAATGCTCTGTTTCATCGAGGAGAATCTGTGTGGTTTGGTGATTTATCGATGGAGCAGCTAGTGACCAGAACCCTTGAACTGTGGTATGTCACCTGTGTTATACCCGGCCACTAAAATGTTTTCTCGCCATCTGTGTAAGTGACTTTTAGCCCTATTCTGTTTATCTCTGGAACGGTTAGATAGAATTCTTGGTGTGTATAATAGTTTCTGAAGCTTTCATGAATTGATTCACTGCAACACCTTGAAACTTAAGACAAAAAAGTCCCCTTTACAACATTCACTGTTTCGAAGTTATGCTAATTTTTCCAAATTAATGTGAGCCATACATACCTCTCTGAATAGTACATTTCAGTTTGAATCTTATTGCATCTTTTGAATATAAAACATTGACAATATTCACTCTGAAATGTACTGGTCTTGCAGGTATGTATAGTCCGTATTAATTTGGAAAAATTAGCATAACGTCAGAACAGGGAATGTTGTAACGCGGATACTTTGAATTCAAACACTTGAGAAGTTCCTGGTGTCGGATTTTTAGCTAAGTACCGGTGGGTCTAGATCGCCCAAAATTTGGCTTTTATTAATTTCAAAGTTTTTTGTTTATTGTTGCCATATAGTGAAATCGGTCATGCAGTCAGTGGAGAAAATTTTATGCGATCGGCCAAGGATAAAATCACTTTTAAGGCAGTCAACAAAAAAAGGAAGGCGAATTGCCTAGTTATTTTGGAAAGTTATTTTTGACTCAAGTTATCTGGGGTTTTAAAAAAATATAGTGGGAATATTGGAATACTATCTACTCTTTGCGCAATACTGCTTTGCGCATAATTACAACCTGATCATACTTCACCTTATTAGGAACCGGCGTAGAGGCACAAGTTAATCATTAGTTTTAGTCCGGAAATTGTGTTATTCTTATCATGTTAATTTGCTGATCTTCTGTTACGGATTTGGTCTCCAAAAATGGTTCCAGTTAATAAATAAAATTTGATTTTTTTTTTTTGATAGATGGATTTTTTTATCCCAAGAAATGTCCTAATTAAGAGCGAATGCACAGAAAAATCGAGCAAAATCGGCAAATCGTGGCCACAGCTCAAAACCTAACTTACCCTCATTTTCAGTCTGTAATAAGGTTTTAATGAGTTTATAACACTGCTGAGGTTTAAATTTCAAAATGCGGCCGAACTTGGGAATTATTTGAGATTTTCGATTTCAACGGTCTGCGGGCCTAAAATTAGCCGCCGAACACGGCAATATAGCCTGGCGACAGAGATGAGCTGACTTTCATAAACGAGCGAATATATTGGCAATCTTCCACTTAAATCTCAAAAAGCAGATATCTAACAATTTCTGAACAGCACATTTTTTAGATTTAGAGAATAAAATATCGACGAACGAGCACAATTTTGAAACGTAATTTGCATAATGCTTATAAATACAACAATTTACCGCTAAAACCAAAATCGAATTTTCTATATGGGGGAATTCTCCAAATCACCCCAAATCCCGCTTCCTACCCAATAAGATATAGTACTTCAACATTATCTGAAAGTTAGTCTGGTGTTCTTGCGAACGCTTGTAAAATAGATTGATTATTTTGAGGTTATTTTGCCCCAAACAACCGCTAATTGACCCAAGGGTCAGTTGACACGTGCACGTCACCTTAGTTTTATGCATCGATTTGAGCTCGTTAAAAGGGAGAAACTAACAAGATTCTTTTAACATGTACCTGTTTTAATGAAATACACGCAATCTTCAAAAGGAGAGGCCGTTCAATGGGTAATTTCTGTTCTTGAGATCTTGTAGATTGTACCATGGCGTCTGCGAGTGGACCTGAGTCTAGGTCTGTTTTCCCGTGACTGCGAAATCAGAATAACATCGAGAAATAATTCTCCTCGAATCTTCGTAAGTGAATCAGCTTTGCAGTGCCTTACCTGAGATAAAAAGTGGCCCGAATAGCAAAACATTTCTAGCGCAATTTGGATCCTTTGTGGAACGCAGTGTATTGCTGAGCGAAAGGTGAGTAAACAAACGTGGGAAAGTACGTTACCTTTGATTGCGTGACCAGCCGGTAAACGATAGTCTCCAGCGAAAAATAGGATTCGCAAAAATCTTGCTGATGTATATTTAACAGTTTGTTACTATAAATTTACAGCTGGTTTGCCTAAAACTTTAAACAATGCATATCTGTCCAAGAGTATAAGAATGTTTCGAAAGATCCACCCCTAAATAACTGTGGGCTACTCCTTTTCCCCCATCACCGATGTGCACTTTCTTCCCACTGTCTTTTGCGTGAGGCTTGTATGCCTTTTTAACTGTTACCGACACTTAAAACTGGCCGTTTAAGGCCTGGTTTAAGAACTTGACTGACTTAAAAAACCGTCGCGAACATGCGCTATTATTGTTTGACTTTGGAAGCTTTAAGCCGAAAATGATGGTGCAATCTCGAGAAATTTGCCCGAGTCTAATTATAAGACAGGGAACGGGTACTAAGAAAGGGACGGTCTCATTTAGCAACCCGTGGACAATCTGGGCATGCTTGCCTTCTGTCGCAGGGGCAACTGTTAAGGCCAGGTACGCCGCCCCCACCCGAGAGGATTGCATGGCATCCACCATTTCAGTCGCTTTTTCCACATTATGACCTTCAATTATCATGAATTATAATGCGGGCCGTGATCGTTGCCACCTTACCAGAAGTCTAATCTTCGCACTGTTAGACCATGAGAATCTCTATTATTATTCCATAAAGGCACCATTGACATTTTCTTGCTCAGTGTCCGGTAAACCGATACTCCGAAGCAAAAATAGCTTTACAACGACTCTATCCAGGCCAGAACTCCTGATATCAACAAATATACCCCACCCCTGCTAAAGAGGGCAAACGTTCCCCGAACTACACACTTGACCCACCCCATCCCTTCGTTAAGAAAAAACTACCCACTCAGTCCACTGGACAAAACGCGCTCGTGAATATACCATACTATAGCCGTTCATCCTACAAGCAATCTCAGTTTCAGCAGGCGTGGCCACGTTTCCAGTTACTGTAAGATTAATTCAACACCTGCAACAGACACTGTAAATTAAATAGCAGCCACAACACCCTTCTTTGAAACCGTCAGGACGAGAAAGTTTAGTGTGCGCGGCGGTTTTCTTCCTTCCCTCCCATTGTAGCACTCAAATTCTGACCCTGATATTAATTCTAGTAGTAATCAATCGTTCCTGAGCCGATAGGCACCAGGATACCAACTTCTTGCAAAATATGCTGTGACATCCGTTTGCTCATCTCCCTTTCTGCCTTCCGCCGCTGATTAGGTTTGGTTCTGTGCTTTAAAATAACTTTAGGAACGAAACATGATACGTGAGGGCGTGTCCGGCTAAGGGCAAGTGACTCTCGGTGGTGAAGACATATACTGAGCTTGTCAGTATTTCGTAGCCTGTACCACGTCACGAAAATAGAACAAGCAAAAGAAAAATAAGACGCCTTTCTTTCCCCAGCTCCCGCAGGTTTTTCGCTTTACTTTTTACTGCACAACTGATTGTACCTTTTCGAACCGGAGCGAACATGGACGCCCTTGGGGTTAAGTTTCCACTTCATTTTCGGCACCTGACTAAACGCAAGCGCTGACTTGTGCGCCTATGCTTCGTTTGCACTGAAGTAGCAGTATATGACCACGACAGACTTGCTGCTATCCTTGGTTTGAAACCGCAGTGGGCAAGAACAATTTCTTGAAAAGAGCAAACTATTTCCTCCTTAGCGGGCATGGAGAACAACTACTAGGACTTAAGCAATGCCATTGCTTAAGTCCTACTAGATTTGAAAAGAGAAAGCATGATGCTTTCTCTTTTAATGATTTACAGCTAAACAGTACAATTTCATGTATCTTTTACGCAATTAAATACTTAGTTGTTTGCAGAATTGCATTTAACAACAAATTACAGAAATTTAACTAAGTTTAGATCTCATAGATAAGAATTGCACGAAAAAAACTTTTGGGGTAAAAAAAGTCAAAAAATAATGTTTGCTGGAAAATCACTTAATGGACATACAATAGCAGAGATATCATGCCTGTAATTTTCTGTTCAATGCACCTTATGACAAGTCTGGCTAATCCACTGGTAACCCATGCCTTAAAACCGCCTTTGAACCTTAAAATTTAATCCATTTGCCTTTCATGCGTAGTGCAAATATATCTTCTGAACACTCTGGGGTTGGGGTAAAATCAGAAGAACAGAACATTCAGTTACTGTACCATTTTTAAAAAGTGGGACAGTATGTTTGCTAATCATCTTAGTTAATCGCTTTTAAAATAGGGCAAAAGGACACCTGGTCATACAGGAAAATGAATTTACTGTATCCCGAAAGCTTTGGTTTCCCGTGCACTTCTTTTTCGCAGGAGACAATCGATAATTGCCTGGTCACGCAATCGGAGGTGAGTAACTAATTAAAAGTCATTGATACCATCGCCGCTTAGCAAATACACTACGTGCTGCAAAGGATCCAAATAGCGCTAGAATGTTTTCCTATTCGGGCCACTTTTTATCTCAGGTAAGGCACTGCAAAGCTGATTCAT